CCTCGTTGCCTGGATAATCCGCATGAGCGGGTACCCAGATGATATAAATGGGGCAAGAGGAAATGGTACTAGACCACAGGATGCGTGCGGCTGGGGGTGCCACCCGTACTACCGCGCAGTTGTATACCGCGGGTTTAGAGTCGGAAAAAATGTTTTTTGCTGAGGTTTGTGTAATGGCGAGGGCAATAGCTGCCTTTTCAGCCACAACAGAAGTGGAAGTACAGGTGGAGGCGGTAATGATAGGTCGGAGGGAGTTGTCCGTGACTGCGAGGGCGTGGGCTGCGTATTGGCGATACGGGCCGGCGTCCACATAGGCCACGTCGGGTTGGCTTCCGAACTTACACCAGAGCGCGGAGGCTCGCGCTGCTTTGCAAGAGGGGTGGTGTTCGGGATGCATATTCTTTGGGAGGGGATCGATGGCTAGAAGGGAAGAGACGTGGGAAGGGATGGGCAGCAGTGAGATGAGAAGGGGCAAAAGAGGGGAGAGTTTAAGGTTGGAGAGAAGTGCGCGACCTGACCGTGTGCGAGAAAAACTGAGGAGCTGGGCCGTGCGATGGGCCTCCGTCAGCTCCGTGAAGGAGTTGTAGACACCTATCGACAGTAGCCGATCCGTTGAGGTAGATGTGGGAAGGGACAGGGCTGACTTATATGCCTGTCGAATAAGGCAGTTGACTTTGTCTTCTTTGGTGCGAGAAAGGAAGAGATACGGTAGAGAATAAACAAAGCAGCTGAGAATAAAGGCCTGAACCGGGCGGCAGAGGTCGTGTTTGTGCATGCCATGATGGTGGTTTGCAACGCGGCGTATCAGGTGCATGGTCTGGGGTACAACGTTGCTGAGTTGAGTGATGAGGATAGTGTGCTTACCATTGGACTGAAGAAAGAGTCCAAAGATGCGAAGGGCAGAGACGAGAGGAAGTGGTGTGCCGTCAACAGAGATGACGAGTGGAGAAGGAGACAAGGGAGCCACTCCCCGAGGCAGGAGGAGCAAAAGCCCTGATTTGGTCGCCGAGCGGCTCAACTTGATAGCTCGGGCCTGAGATGTCACAGCGTCCACACCCGACTGGAGAGTGATCTCCATGTCGCCAAAATTGCCTGTGGTCACCCAAAGGGTGATGTCATCAGCATAGAAAGCATGAGATAGAGCTGGTATTGTGCTAAGCTTGCGTGCCAGTGGGAAGAGGGTAATGTTAAAGAGAAGAGGGGACAGGACAGACCATTGCGGAGTACCCTCATTGCCTAAGGAGTAAAAAGGAGAAGAAAGTGGGCCGTATGAAATTTCTGCGGTGCGGTGGGCGAGGAAAGCGGTGATGTAAGCATGTACACGTGTCCGACGTCAAGGGAGGAAAGAGCGCCCAGAATAGCTTTGTGGTGTACATTGTCGAACGCTTTGGTTAGGTCCAGCGCCAGGATAGCACGAGTGCGTTTTTGGTGGGATGGGTGTAAGACATCTTCAGAGAGCTGGAGCATGACATCCTGGGTAGAGAACTGCGGACAAAAGCCAAACATGGAGTCCAGATATAGGTTATGGTCGTCTAGGTAGGTTTGGAAGCGGGCCAGGATGACATGCTCGAACAGCTTGCCAAGGCAAGATGTCAGAGAGATCGGGCGGAGGTGCTCGAGGGAAATGGGTTTGCCAGGTTTAGGGATGAAAGACACTGCATGTCCAGGAGGAGGGAAGAGTACCAGCCTGCCAGTGTGTGTTGCGAAGGTCGGTAAGGGCTTCGAGGGAGGGGGTATCTAGGTTGCGGAGAGCCTTGTTAGTAATGCGGTCCGCCCCCGAAGCCGAGCTTGTGCAGAGCTTGAGTAGCGCAGCAGAAACCTCACACAAAGAAATGTCAGCATCAAGGTCGCTGTTGGAAGAGCCGCAGTAAGCAGGAAGTGGAGTGTGGGGGGTCGGTGCAGAGGTAGCGGTTGCGGAGGGTCGCCAAAAACTCAGTATCGGTTAGTGAGGAAGGGTAAAGTAGAAGGGAGACATCCTTGCGCTAGGGTGCTTTGGTATGGGTGGAGTCAAGCAGCACCCTGAGAAGTGACCAAGTGTCGCGGAGGCCAAGATTTCCGGCCATGCGGTCGCACGTTTGACCCCACTGTTGTTGCAGAACAGAGGAGCAGTGCTCCTCCATGTCCAACGCGAGCCGGGCCAAAAAAGAGGCGCAGGCGGCGATTATGTTTCTGGGCCTGCCATCGGCGGTGGACCTTTGGGTGGCCTTCCAAAGGTGCAGCAGACGGCTGTCTGCCGTAGTGGAGTGTGGCGCAGCAGGGAGTGTGGATATAGCAGTGCGGACATCTGCCAAAATGGTCTCCGTCCAGACTGAGAGGTCTGTGATAGCAGAAGGAGAGGAAGCAGAGAGGTGAAGGGAGCAGAAGCGATCCTAGTCCACTACCTGGGCAAGACGAGTAGAGGAGCGAGCAAGAGAGGGGAGTGGGACAGTGGCTATCGAGGGAGATACCCATATTAGACCAGGATGAGACAGCTACATTTCTGGCGCGTGCAAGGTCCGGATTGGTGTCTCGTTGGTCACTGGATCTGATTCTGGTGGGGCGAGTGGAGTCGTTAAGAATCGATAGACGTTCGTTGTGGATGAAGTTCCAGATTGAGTGGCCCTTGCGGGTATTCTGGCGGTAGCCCCAGCTGGTATGGGGGGCGTTAAAAGTCGCCTAGAATTATTAGGGCATTGCAGCCGGCACAGGAAAGCACTTTGCGTAGGACGAGAAGTAGAGGGGCAGAAGGAGCTTTGGGAGAGCTGTACACATTGAGGACAAAAAGGCTTGTCTCAGTTCGACGGCGAGGAAGGATTTCAAGGAGGAGATGGGCAGATTCCGGAACGTCCAACTGGTGCACCACTGCAGTAAGGTTGCGGTGCACCAGCGTTGCAACGTTTGGGTGGGCCTCAGAAGATGGATGAAAGGCGGTGTAATCGCAAAGTTTTACGGGACTTAGTGGTTCCTGAAGTGCTGTGACAGAGGAAGTAGTGTCGGGAGGGATATTCTGGAGGTGGAGCTGAAGGGTGCTCCATTTGGCGCGGAACCCCCACGACAGTTCCACTGCCAGAGATTAAGGTGCGGGTGGTGCCTGGGCATGATTAATGGCAGGGAGACCGGACGGAGTTTCTGTAGGTGCTGGGGTGAGCGGGGCGGGGAGCGAGCGATGCGCAATGGTGGCCTCAGTGGTGCTTTGACGGGTCTCTAAGGCAGCTACCCTGGCGTCTAAGGTGGCGAGGTGGGAGTCGATGGCGGCCACGCGCGTGTCGATAGGGGCTGCACGTTCTTCAAGTCGTGTGAAGCGGGACATGATGCGCTGTTTGAACGACTCCAAGAAGCAGGTTGTTTCGTGAACGACGTCACGCTCGTGTGTGGCGATGGTGTCGGAGGAGGGTTATTGGCGTTTCTGCGGGGGTTGATGGGTAGGGGAAGAGGCGCGCAATGATGCAGCCGATGGTGCCGTGTTCACGGACTCCTCAGCTGGTGCAGGTGGAGACAGCGTTTGTGTAGGAGTGGGAGCTGGGGAAAGAGGAGGAGCGGGAGATGACAGACGTGCCATCACGGCCTGTACGCGTCAGCTCTTGAATTTGGAGCTGTTGGGCAGTTATAGTGGCCTCGAGAGCCGTGATTTTAGGGTCCGACGTGTGAGGCTGCGGTGTCGAGCTTACCGGTGGTGGGGCCGTGGTGGTGGTGTGAGTGGTGGCGGGGTCGGTGGACGCCTCGGACCTGGGCAGGGGTGGGAAAGAGACGGAGCGGTGGTTGCTGGAAGACTGGGCACAGCGGGATGTAGACCGGTGGCGGGGGCGAGAAGGCTGGGAGCTCTTGAGGATGGGTCCGGTGGGTGGTGCTGGTTCCGGAGGCTGGGGCTTGGATGAAGCTGGACGCGGGTGACGGGCCACTCCTGTTGAAACGGAGTTTGCATGTACGTAAGCCCGTGACGGGGTCTTCTTTGCACAGGATGCAGGATGGGTCGCAGGTCGGGGGCTCAACTCTCTCGTTAGTCTGGCCACAGCGGTAGCTGAGGGTCGACTTGGGCTTGATGGATGTCCGCGCGATGGCAGGAGTCCAGCAGTTAATGCAGGCCTCGGCTTTCGGGCGGAACGGGTGGCAGCGGTAGACGCTGCAATTGAAAACGATCGAAGAGAAGAGGATAGTAGTGCTGATAAAAGTAATCAGGATGGATTTTGAGCGCCCCATCCGGCGCACGTAGGCGATGGCGTAGGGGTGTTCAAATTCATAGACTGGAGATCTTGGATGATCTCGTCCTGTGTTTGGGAGTCAACAGTGTTGTAGATGATGCCACGGAGGGCGCTGTCTGGTGCTGCCATGTAGGCACGTAGGGGGTAAGAGATGGTATCCAGGCGGAGTTCAGATGCACGGAGGTAGAGACGTGCGCATGGCTCAGATGGGGTGCTGACAGTGAGTTGTTGCATGAATTGATGCGTACACGGTCAGCGGTGCGGGCGGCTGCGTAGTCGATGTTGGCGGGACTGCAGAGAGTTTGCAGCAGGTCACCGTTAGTTGTAGTGCGGAGGTCAAGCCCCCCTCCCGGTCTGAAGACGATGTTGACGTCCTCTGCAGGGAGTTGAGGGAGGGGAGCATGACGACGAGGAGTGGGAGCACTAGGGGTGGTGTTCGGCGGTCGAGGTGTCTCCTGCGACGGGGTCGAGGAAGGCGGCGTCAAAGTGATGGGATGGTGGGCCGCGGCAGCACGGTGTGCTTTCACAGCACGGATGCAGCGCGAGTCAGCTTCAAATTCAGCTGGAGTGATGGATTCACCGTCGACTTGATACTCCATGTCGGCGGCTTGAAGATTCAGGAACACTTTCGGTGAAGGCGGCGAAACGCGAGTGGCGTCAGCCGCTGTTATGACTCAGAACGCGGCTGTGCATTCCGCAGGGGCGCGTAGTCGAGCGGCGCACGATAGAGCGCATCGGCGGCGTGGCAAAGCTCAAAAGTGGCTCAGAAGTGTCAAAAACGGGCGTGATTCGGCTCCGAAGGTGTTAAAATTATCCGCTCACCTTCACGGATGCACTGGGGAAGTTTCACGAAGGGCAAAGAGTTGCGGTGAAACGGGCCAGAAGTATGGAGCTCATGCGACGCACGTCTGTCCCCTCCGCTGGCTGGGCGCTTTTCCGCTCTCTTCAAGGCCCATTTGCTGCATGACAGCGGCGTAGACGCCGCGGACACCGTATTATACCATGCAGAGCACACGAGAGCACACTTTCCGAACCACAAACCACAGTGTAAGCAGTGTAAGCACCGTAGAGTAACAGGAGGTCGTGAGAGTAACACAGTAGTACACACAGTGTATAGGCATAGTCTTCTTCTTTCTCTATGGTATAGGTGTTCTGTGGTAGAACCATAGAGTAATATCACAGAACAGCTACCAGTTTGGTAATATCACGAAACACCTATACACAACCATTTGTAGTACACCGTCCGTGCCACCAACAAGAAACGAAATCCACAAATAAGGCGGAAGGATGAATGGATGGATTGATGTGACTATACCTTTAAGATCGGGCGGCGGCTAACGCCACCTAGCCGTAATACTTAGTGAACCACCAGTTAGATTCATCCTTTTTTTTTTTTTTCCTTTAAATAGTGAAGTATAGGACTGGTACTTTGCAGTGAATGGTTTAATTTTCACTCGTGCCTTGACTTTAGCCACCAATCAGATAACCTTCTTCTCGTTAATTCTACCCGCTCAAAGTCTATTTTGCCCTCCCTGTCTCTAAACCCCAGTGCTTTGAAAAACTCTGCGCCATCATCCTGAACTATAGGGTGAAGCTTTTTATAAAACATTATCAAGTGCTCGGCAGTTTACTCCTCCTCTCAGCACGCACTGCATACTGTGTCTACCCCTTCGTATTTGACCCGATATGTCTTGGTTCGCAATACTCCCGTCCTGGCCTCAAACAGTAGAGAACTACCACGAGTATTATCATAGATCCTTTCCTTAGCAATTTCATGCTTAAAAGTTCGATAGATGTCTAGTGCGGACTATTAATCATGCCAATTCTCGACATGTCAGTCTCCGTTTGCTTCACCTTCTTCTTAACTGATAGTTCTTTTTGGTTTGGCCCCCTGCTGTTTTTTAAGTATTTACCCGTCAATTTTCTGGTTCGCTTCCTCCATTTCGTATCAACATTCTTCATGTACAAGAAGCTGAAAGCATTCCTTGCCCAACGCTCCTCTCTCATTTCTCTCAATCGCTTCTCAAATTTTATCATGCTGCTCCTTCCTTGCTCTCAAATGATGTCCACCCCATATCACCTTGTACTCCCCGATTTGGTGTATTCCCGTGAGCTCCTAGAGCAAGCCTACCTATTCCACGTTGCTTAATTTCTAATATTGCTTGAACTTCTGATCTCATGATCTCTCTCAAGACCGCATTGCCAAACGTCAGACCCGGAACCATGACCCCTTTCCCTATTCCGCTCACATCATACCTATTGTAATTCCACATTGCCCTATTTTTCATCACTGCTGCATTCCTGTTACCTTTAGTCGTTACGTATAATTCGTGTTCCCCTAGGTAAGCGCTAATACAGCAAAAGCGCCACTAGCGGCACATTTAGAATTTGCGTTTTAACAATAATTAATAGTGTACGTAGTACACATTTCAGAACAAGTCACAAAAATAATAAAACGCCAGCACATGGAAAAGAAAATCAAAATGCACTAATGAACAAACTGTCTACTGATTTCATTGCTGCACTATTGAGAAATTATGAACAAATTCTTAATTCTTTCAATTTCTTTGGCACTGCTCGTTACATGGCCGATCCCCCAGGTTGGTTGCGACATAGAGTTTCTTAATTATACTTTTAGAAAACTCTGTGGGTAGCGCCAGTTCAAAGGGGGCAATCAATCAATCAATTGTCATCGCCATGCCGACAAAACCATAGAGAATATCCATAGAGCTTGTTTCTCACAATATTGCCAGTATGAAATTCTACGGGCAAAACCAGTGCCTCCTTGGCAAGAATTGCGGCACGAAAAGTGGGCGGCACTGGGACGGCGCGCGGAGCGTGGCAAGAACAAGCAACAGTCGCTAGAGTGACAATAGCCCATAGAGAGTTTTATATAATATTACCTAGAGGTGAGTCTGGCGCTAGTGTCTACGCGGGCTCTTTCAGCAATCACTTAACTCTCCTACAGAGACTGTCGGGCTGATGAATGTTTGAGTCGAAGTAGCTGTGGTAGGTGATCGTGCGAAGCGCTCCAGCGCGCGCATCGAACAGTAGCCCACGTTCACTCCGCCCACGACCTCCTCTATGAACTTCTTTTTATAGAGAAGATTGTGCTTCCACCCCAGCACCCTGGGTGCTTATAGCCCCTAGATTCAAGCATCCTGTTTTCACAGCGCTACTATGCCGTACCAGTGAGCGGGGAAAACGCAAGCGCCGACGGACGCGGTACACTTCTAGTACACTTCTGTGGTACACTCTAGCCGCGGGAGGGTGTTCTGCAAGGCACTGAAAGTTAGAGAGGAGGCACTGGCGGCCATGGAGAAAGGAAAAAAAAAAAGCGGTTTTTCCTTCCTCCATGGGTAAAGCTAAAAGCTGAATGGTCGCCATTATAGTGCCTAGAATATACTACTGGCTAGTGTACCGCTCGCCATCCCTTTTCAATGGAGGAGGGTGGCACAGATTCATGACCTCCTCTATAGATTAGCGACCTGCCCGTGCTGTGGCGCTCCTGCGCACCAAGTTTGTTTTCCCTTGTTTATTATTTTTTAGTTTTCCGCTCTGCCACGGCAAAGCGTAGCGCTATAACTTACCCCCATTTCTCGCAGACGGACGAAGGCTGCGTGTGAAGAAGGCATCATGAAGCTTAAATCGCCGAAGTCGCACTCGACGACAACTGCCACAATTGCAGGCATTGATAGGGGTGGACTGTCGTACCCGAGCATAGCATTTGTTGGCTTTGTTAGCCTGCTTGAATATGCTGCCTCACGAGCGGCACCTTTGCTGATCAAACGACCACAGCCACTGCAGAAGTTCACGTGTGCCGTGCTTTCATCTGTCATTAAGAACCCGCTGTTCAAATGTGAAAGGAATGACAGTGTAACCCATACAACTGCGCTTGTTCAGCTCATTCTCGTGAAGTTTTTGCGACCCTTTCTGGCAAATTTTTCCAGCAACGTAACCGAGACCCATGCGAAAAGGAAGTTGCTGCACGCCAAGCCACAGTCACGAAAGGTGCTCAAGGTTTGAGCTTGGCAAACAAATAAAATGTACTGGAATTTCACAATGCATGAAGTGTGTTCCTTCTGCATGAGAATTTTCTGTAGTATAACACAGACGAGTTTCTAAAATAATGGGCTTAAGCATTTAATTAGTGGGTTAATCAGGGGCACAGCAGTTAAGAGGCTCCACTAAGGGAAGTGCAGCAAAATATATTTTCAGAAAGATTCGGGTCAATTGCAGTTACAGAGAATGCATTTGAATTTCGCTTTTGTAAGTAACATAAGTGTGCTGGTTTCAATGGGACAAATGATTAAGTTCCGCTTCTTGCAGCAGGCTAAATGTATCGTAAGTTCAGCAACTTGGTCCACGTAATGCATAAAAACGGTGTGTTAAGTATGGTCGTGGTTATACGTAGCTTGCGCTGCTTTATAAAAAGCCTGGAGCTAATCGTACTCCATGTAATTCGTGATCTCGTAGTAATACGTGCGCTAAAAAGCTTCCAACTCTGAAACTGAGACTCGGATGATTCAATGTGCTTTAAGAAACGAAAATGCGAGCATTGCAGTTTCGGCACTTCTTTTCGTTCAATTGGGCGGAATAAATTGCACAGCTACTAGTCCTAAGAGGTTTCTACTTCAGTGAAGAATGACAGACTCCTCGACCATGATGACGTTGAAATGTCATGTCTGAAGAACCAAGTGCCATCAATGTTTTTATTTAAACGGCGGCACCCTATGAGAACCGCCAGTCGCGCACGGCAGGGCTCCCATTGACACTCCCATTACATTGCCGACTTTATTAACAATGGTGTCGCGATGAAGGACACGTGAATGTTCACCACACAGCGGCACATAAAGTTTTTTACAGAGCACACACACAGCAGCCGCGTTGAGTAATTGTTGGGACCGCTGTAATGAGCCGTGGCATGCCGTTAATGCGCCTACTTCACGTTCTCGGCCTCGTCTCTGCGCACTAGTCAAACAGAAAATTTCAAGATCATCACGTAAGTTACTAAAGGAAGAAAAAAATGTATCTGCCGCGGCACATTAGAATCTATTCCGACGGTAAAAGAAAAAAAAATACCTGTGGCGGAACACTCGAAACGCGGAAACCATTCCGACGGAGCTACGCACTTTTCAAGTTGTCGCGTCGGCTGCTATGGGGTTAAGTGGAGGCGGCCTCTCGTGACACTTTTGTAACTAGACAAACACGTGACCCGGCGTTGTCAACAAGATCAAACGCGACAAACCGCGCCTCAAACATGATGCGGCGCCCACCATATTCCCTGAATATCCTCAGCACCTTGTTCCAAAAATACCAACTAAACGAAAAACAACAAATTTTTGCCTTCAGCTTGTAGGCATTCCAGCAAAGCCCCACCACAGCGCCGAGTCGATTGCCTCTGAAGCGATCTCTGCCAAAGAATCTTGTGCTGAGGATCATTATTCTGTACCTGAAGAATGCGCCACACACCGTGGATCAGAAACAGAAAGCGCGCAAAACACTCAAGCTCAGCACCCACAATGCACCAATAGACACCCATTCTGTGACCTAAATATTCCTGACACTTGGCTGAAGTGCCGTCTCTGCCAGCAGGAACGGTAGCGTATGCGTGCTGTGAAAGTGAAGCGAATAATTTCTCTACCCTGTTCATAGAGAAAATGGTATACTTTGAAGAGCCTTTGGCCGAACGGCAATCAGTAGTCGCATGCGGTATACCCCAGAGGACGAGAGAAGTCAAAGCGAATCCTCACACGTAGTGATGAGGCTTAAGCCATCATCAAAGAAGTTTCAGTGAAAGCTCTTTGCGGTGGTTGTGGCTTGAAGCCAGTTTCATTGAAACACAACTCATTCAGAGGCATGTTTTTTTTTTCTGAGAAATGTTTTTTAACAGTGCAGTCAGACGGAAAGCCTCGCGTTTTTTGTAAGTACCAGAGGGTTCTGGTTCAAAACCAGACCTGCAAGAGAAAGAAAAAGACCAAGAAAAGCGCAAGAGATGATGCTGAAAAGAAGCACTGTAAGAGCATTTCTCGCAATTCGTTGAGAATCAAGGATTGAGACTCGCGAACGCAAAAGAACTGGCGTCTCGTATGAAAGCGCAAAATGAGACAGTTAGCAAAGAGGCATTCGAAAGTAATATTAGGTCTATTTCCTCAAAACAACAACTCGCTGCCAAGACCTGCTTCGTTGCCGCACGACAAAAGTCTCATAAAGGCATGCAATACAACGATGAGTGGTTTCTGGAATGCATCATGATGAAGATGCAAAGCCCGAAGTTGTATGGACATTTCCGCAAAGAATCCATCTTGGTAGGAAGCGCAGCCACTATTACACAGAACACAAGCGCTTGTGTTGTGTGTTCTGTGTAATAATGGCTGCGCTGCCTAGCAAGATGGATTCATACCAACTGGCCCGATACAATTGTTTATTCTGCAAAGAAGTCGTCATGGTGCTGCCTGGGAGAACTTGTCTGCGAAGGTAGCTGCAGCGTTTTGAGGGTGGCTTTGGCCTCAGTGCCAATATTTTTAAAGCCTTGACTGAAAAGACGAAGGCCATGGATGTTTACAGTCGTCATGGTGGGCTTGTCATCGACGAGATCAAGCTCTCCGAGCACCTACATGTAAAATCAGCTGGTGAGTATATATCTCTACATCCCATGTATGGTAAAGTGCTGGGCACATCAAGAAATAACCACTATGATTTTGCCCTCAGGAAGTGTATTACAAAAGTTTCATGCGCGTTAAAAGGGCTCTGCTATTCTAAGGACAACTATTTTTTATAGAAGCTAATGCGTAAAAAATATATGAATATTTCAAGAAAATCTTCACCATCGCCGAAATAAGTTGTGTCAACGTGCTTTGAAATTCTATATGACTCAAGCACGGGAAGGAGAATGAAAAGTGATAATCAGATGCCTTAAGGACATTCCTTATGCTTATTCCTCCACAGCTTAAGCTCTTAAAATTATTATGGATACCTGGACATTGCGGGTTAGAGTGAAATGAAATGGCGGACTCATTAGCTCGAATGGCATTAAATGGCCCAATACTTTCTGTGTTTCCGGTGCTGTCCAGTATAACGGCGATAAGATATCGAAAATTTGCACTCAGGGCTGATGCCATAGAATCAGTAACACCGTGCACTGAATTTAGACATTTGAAATATCGATGGAAATCCGGCTGGTGTCATACTAGACAACTGGAAGTCATGCTAACAAGACTGCGATGTCGTGTGCCCCCTTTGAATATATATTCACAAAGGGCTGGTCTGGGAATATCTCCTCTATGCAGCTTTTGTACAGATATGGAATCAATAGACCATCATTTTTTGTCATGTCGCCGTTACAGTCTATCAAGAAAACGTCTCCTTGTCATCCCATTTGCTAACCTTGGGCTGCCCTTCACCGTTGAGAATATACTCTCCTTTGGTGCTTCGGTTCTGGGCTACAGCCACAGGAATGACTTTAATGCCGTTTGCAGTTACCTTCGTGAAACAAAACGGAAGCGCCTCTAAATTCCAATTAGCATATTTGTTATTATAATATTATTAAGCAAATTCTAATCACCAATTTTAAACGTGTTAAAAATTACTACAACTTCAATTTGGGATATATATTATTCTGTCTGGTCGAAATGGCAAAAAAAAAATATTGCACTCTTTCTGCATTTACGTGTGCTTATCATCCTTCTGTTAGGTTTAGGTATCATTTGAAAGGTCTTAAATTTCATATCATCTTTATTTCAACTATGATATCCTTAACCCCCGTTTGTCCCCTAGTCCACTCTGCTCTCTTCTTGTCTCTTAAGGTTACACCTACCATTTTTCTTTCCATTACTCGCTGCGTCGTCCTCAATTTAAGCTGAGCCCTCTTTGTAAGTCTCCAGGTTTCTGCTCCGTAGCTAAGTACCGGCAAGATACAGCTGTTATATACCTTCCTCTTGAGGGATAGTGGCAACCTACCTGTCATAATTTGAGAGTGCTTGCCGAATGTGCTCCACCACATTCTTATTCTTCTAGTTACTTCAATCTCGCGGTTAGGCTCTGCGGTTATTGCCTGCCCTAAGTAGACATAGTCTTTTACAACTTCAAGTGCACTATTAACCTATCTCGAAGCGCTGCTCCTTTCCGAGGTTGTTGTACATTACTTTAGTTTTCTGCAGATTAATTTTAAGACCCACCTTTCTGCTCTCCTTGTCTAACTCCGTAATCATGAGTTGCGATTCGTCCCCTGAGTTCCTTGTCATCTCCTTGTCAAGTCCTTGTCATCTCCTTTCTTATGTATTAAGATGATGTTAGCGTTCTTCCAAGACTCTGGTACCCTTCCCGTCAGGAGACACTTCGTAAACAGGGTGGCTAGTTTTTCTAACACAATCTGTCCTCCATCTTTCAGCAGGTCTGATGTTACCTGATCCTCCCCAGCAGCTTTGCCTCT